TAAATGTAAATATTAAGAGCTAAAACTTTTAGATAATTGTTTTTTATCATTTTGGAAGCATTTGAGCCATTGGGGGCAAAGAAATTCGTAAATGTTTATATTATGGATCACCCTAAATATGTATATATATATATATTATATATATATATATATATATATTTTGTCTAATGTAAGGTAGAGTAATCCAAGACTCTACCATTCAATATATATATATATATATATATATTATATATATATATATTAGGGTGGTCCTTAAAATGGTCATTTTCGAATTTCCTGCTTCTCCAGGGGCTAAATGGTTCCAAATAGATAAAACAATTCTCTGAAAGTTTTAGCTCTTAATGTTAACGTTTAGATAGAGCGCAATTCAATCAAAGTTTTGTATGGAAATAGCATAGAAAATTTTCAAAAATTTTAAAAATGTTTTTTAGATGTAATTTAGCGAACAAATGAATGAATAAAACTCATTCATTTGTCGCTAAGTTATACCTAAAACATTTTTTTTAAATTTTCAAAATTTTTTTCATGCTCTTTCCATACAAACTTTGATTGAATTGCGCTCTATCTCTAAATGTTAATATTAAGAGCTAAAACATTCAGAGAATTGTTTTTTATCAATTTGGAACCATTTGAGCCCCTGGGAGCAAGGAAATTCGGAAATGACCATTTTAAGGACCACTCTAATATATATATATATATATATATTATATATATATATATATATATTAATTTATTTATTATATTAGTAGTGATGTTACTTGTTTCTGTTAAACAATATTGTACAATTGACTTGACAATAATGAATATAGATTGTATGTAAGCGACTGATAAATTTTATAATAAGATAAATTTACAATATTTAAATTAAATTATAGTCATTGATTAAAATAAATAGATAAATAAAATGTGCCAAAGGTTGATCAATATACGTAAAACAATTTCATATCATAAAGGACTAATAAATAAATAAATAAATATATATATATATATATATATATATATGTTTATTTATTTATTATTATGTCCATTACATCACAACCTTTGCAAATTTATCATTAATCGATAGAGCAGTTATGAACAAGTTAATAGAGTGATATAATAAATTAATTTATTTTAAGATTATATATATTTAATAATTAATTTATATGTCGAGATGCATGATAAAGTCTGAAAAGTCAAGTATATATACACGTAGATATATTTTTGAAATGACATTATTGTCAATAAATAATATAGTAATGATATTATTCTATGAATATTATTTGATATTAGACGTGTGTATTTTTAAATATAATATAAAAATAAAGACCATAAAATTAAGTGAGAAATTAAAATTTATTTATAATTAAGAATTTTTCTTAATTCGAGTATTGCTCCAAAAATAGTTTTTTTCTGTATTAAAAGACATTGTTCTAACACAGCACATTTATTTTACATATAAAAAGAATTACATGCTTTTTAATATTATTATATTTCGAATAATTTATATTAAAATAAAGAGAAGTGCCATTAAATAATTATACATATTGAATTATATATATATATATATATATATATATATATATATATATATATATAAAATAATTAGCAGCCTATTCGTCGAATTGAAATGTTAAATAAACATTCTTTATTAATTATACGTTTTGACACTTGATGTGTGTCATCATTCAGTACAAAAATACTAACAAACGTTACACTGATGATAGTTATTAAAAAATTGTATTTAATAGGAAAAATCAACATATAACTAAAAATTTACATTAAAAACTAAAAGAGAGGACGATCGAAAATAAAGTCAGTTTTCAGTAATAAATTTATTAGTGTAATTGTCCTGGTTTGATTTACTAAATAATGACATACATCTAGTGTCGAAACGAATAATAACGTCTTTAAAAAAAGTACCGGTGGTGTTTTCGTTTCCTGAACACACAGGTATAATAATTTAAAATATTTGTTAATAATTTTTTTATTAAAATAACCAATTATCCAAATGTTTAATACAATATTTACTTTTCATATTGTACATCATTTTGTCATGGATATACGGACACGATGGAATATTGGATGCAATAAAAAATAGTACATGATTTAATTTTGATAAAATGGACATCAATATCATGGACAGCATATTATGAGT